CAAATGTTCCTTTCCATGCACATTGGGGCTCCCTGGTGCTGGGGGTACCTCACCTCACAACTGCCTACCTCTGGGCCAGGACCACATGATAAGGGGCCACTGTTCTGTCTGTGACACTGGGGAGGGCCCCAGGAGGGCTGATGGGACCCCCAGTGTCAGGTGACAAGGCTCTGAGCTCCTGCAAGGTTGGGCCCTCATTTCGCTAAGGCAGGTTTCTGCACTTGCAAAGCTGGGCCTGAGTGGACATTTAGAAAGAAAGAACCAGGGTGCCCATGTCAGTCAGGGTCCTGGGGCTGTCACCAACACTGGCTTTGCCCCCTGGCTGCTGACAGGTCTGGGAGAGGAATGGGACACAGGTGGCTGAGTCTCATTTCTTCTTCCCGGGCGCTCTAAGATCTGAAGAGAGCCCCATGGACTTGGAAACATGGTCCTCGAGCTCACCTGCCCAGAGTTGGGGCACCTGGAACATCACCCACTGACTCAGAGCAACCGCTTCCCACCCCCAACCCCAACCCCCAGGCAGCTGCCCCTTCTAATGTCCGGGTTGGCCCACGTGGCATCCCGAGCAGCACTGGATCTGAGCCTGGCTGGTCTGGCCATTGAACTTTCTAATCTCCCCGGTGACTGTGGTGTGCAGGGAGCTGGAGGGGCTGTGGACACCCTGGGCTCAGGCCCTACTGTCTGCCAGGCTCTGAGACCCCGAGCAAGTCTCTTGCCGTCTCTGAGCCTGTTTTCCCAGCTATAAAATGGGCGTGATAATGGGACCTGCCTCCTGCTGTGGAGGTACAGTGAGTCCAGCAGCTGGAATATGGAGCCCCTAATAAAAGCAGTGCTGGGGGTTGCTTCGTTTCTCCTGAGCTGAGGGGTGGGCGAGCTGATGTGTGTGGGGCACCTGGTGAGCTCTACATGAAGGCAGCTGTTATACATTAATCTTAGAAGAAAAAAATTAACTTATAAGTTAAAAGACATATATCCAGCTGCCTGGGCCCCACTCCAGACCTGCTGAATCAGGGTGCCCTAAACAGGGGGCATGTTTGTGGAGACCCCCACTATTGAGTGGAGGGTCTGTGGGCACTGAGAACCCCAAGATGAGCCCAGAATTGAAGCTGGGGAAACAGAAGCCTGGTTGGGCACAGAGGGGGCAGTGTAAGCTTGGGGGTTCAATCGCCAGGGCAGGCCTCACAGGCGGGTCACCTTGGGGAGCCAGCACATGGGCCCTGACAGTGCTTTCTGGGGAGGCTGTGAGGATTCAACGAGATACTGTGTGGATGTGCAGGGCATGGGCCCAGCTCCACCTGGGTCTGAGGACACCTGAAAGCGGACGCTGGAGGATGAAGGAACCAAGAATGGGGAGGGAAAGAGTGTCTTATGGGGCTGGCCCAGGTTTTCCAGGTGGTGGTCTGGACTTGCTGGAGCCCTGCCATCTGAGCCGGCTCATGCTGGCACCCTCAGCAGCCTTGGTGGGAAGTGGGAACTGTACCCGCTCACTGGCACCCAGCATCCAACAGCAGGGCCCCTCCCCTGCACCCCTCCGTCTCCTCATGCCCTGGCCAGCTCCTGCTCTCACTGGCTTATGGGCACAGGGTCCCCTCCTGGATGTCCCTACACTGGCTACCTTGGGCAGAGAGGTCATATGAGAGCCACCGGGGTTCTGAGCCTCCCAGTGGGTCTGGGGGGCCCAGGAGCAGCCTTGGCTCAGTATGAGGCCTTGAAGGGGGCGGGGCAGGAAGCCAGCACAGGGAAAACAGGGCTGTCCCTATCTGGTGGCTCCCTAGAGCCGCACCTGCGTTTGCCCTCAGGCCACACAAGTCTGGTAAGGCCTGATGAAGTCCTGTGTGCATGGAAGCTGCTGAAGGGATTTAGGCCAGAGAAAAATGTGCACACTCAAGACTCTCTCCAGCCGCCGTGCAGAGTCTTCAGTGGTCAGTCTACACTTGCCAGCCTGGCCCCCGCTGACCTTCCTTCCCAATTTTCCTGCACAACTAGAGGCCCTGAACACTCTTGCCTCTGGCCTTTGCATTTTATGTTCCTTCACCACAAATGCTGTTCCTCACCATCTCCATACCACCTCTGCTCTTTCCTGAGGACCCTCGTTATTTTCTCCTTTCTGGGGTGGGGTCTGTGCTGATGGCAGCCTGGAGAGCAGGGATCCAGCTCTATAAATCTTTGCTGAATGCCACTGAGTGCTCACAGGTGCAGATCCTTCACCTGATCTCATCTAACCTCCCAGCTGCCCAGTGGAAGGTGCTCACCATTGCCCCCTTTATAGAGGAGTAGAGAGGCTCAGAGAGGTGAGGTGACTTGCTGTAGGTCACATGGCCAGGAGGAAATAGAGCCAGGACTCAAACAAGATTCAAGAAAGACTCGTGAGGTCTCATATGGTGCGCCTGTGGTCCTACCATGCTCAGACCCCGGGACCCAGGATACAGGCAGGAGGTGGGACAACAGAGGTGTCCCACCCTGCAGTCTCAGTCAACCTGGGTTTGAATCCCAGACTTGATGCCTCTTCTAAAAGAAGGATGCCTGTTGGTGACAACCAGGGCTCTGAAACCCTGCAGACCCAGGTGACTGCAGGGATGCACCCATACCTGCTATGTGCCCTTGGGCAGATTACTGCACTTCTCTGTACCTGCAAAACTGGGTTTTAGTGAGAATTGGAGTGATAACTGTCCAGTGCTGAGAGCAGGACCTGCCTCCTCTCCTAAGTAAATGGGTGGCCTTGGGCCTGCCTGCCTTTCCTTTTCTGCCAAAGGTCTCTGGGCACCAGCGGAGCTCTGCCCACTCCATCCTCAAGTCCACCCAGCAGGCATCGTGGGATGAGTGTTTCCAGAGCCCACTTCTTAAGGGCTGTGGAGATAGTGCGACATGTCGAGTTGATCCCACCTGACCATTGAGGTTCTGGTTAAACAAGCACTGTGTGAGTAGTGTCAGTTCATTGAAGTGGCCCTGGCAGGTCCCCCACCCCTCCCCAGTGGGGTTTTCCTTTATGCTTCTCTGGTCTGTTCAGTGTCTGAGGCTCCCGCCAGGCTGAGCGTGGAAGGGCTTTGGAAAGTCAGAGCAGGCCCGGCGTCCCGTGTCCCAGGTTGGCATCCAAAACACCCTTCCAAGCATGCCAGTGGGACCGCCTGCCCTGGGGTGGCCTGGTCAGATGAAGGGCTGGCCAGGACAGTCTGCACCCTTAGGAGTGGCCCAAGGCCCATGGTGGCCAGCCACACTTGCCTTCTTTGGTTGTCACCGGGGACTGGCCACCAGCCCTGCAGCCAGGCATGGTGTTGATGGGCCCCACAGCTGCGATGCACTTGTGCCCGGCCATCAGCCTCCTGACAGGCTGGCTGTAGGGAAGGGGGAGCAGGGTGCCCGGCGGGAGGGAGGCCAGCGACTGCAGCTGAGTGGACAGCAGGTGCTGCACGGCTGGGTGGCTGCTGATTCTGGCTGCTTCCCCTCCATGGGGCCCAGCATGGAGGGGGCTTCACTCTCACCCCACAGGGCTCTGGAGTGTGGAGGACTGTGAGAGCCCCTCCCCAGTGCTACGGATGGGTGGGCATCTCCTGTCTTTGAAGGGGGAGGAAGGGGGAGATGAAGGGAGGTTTGCACAGTATTGAGCATGAGATAATGGTAAATGCCATTTGTTAGCATTATTAATCACCATCCCCAGAGGCGGGCCACCCCTCACACACTCTGTGTCTGTGCGTCTGCCATGATCATGGGGGGCCCCTGGGAGGGAGAATGGGTGAGAGCAGAGGGGGAAAGGACTGTAGTCACATAGTGACTGTTAAGGGGTACGGAGCCTTGGCTGTGGTTCTGCCCCACCGTCCCCCTGGCTCTGGGTGAGACCCCATCAGCATTAGCAAGATGAGCTCAGGGCAGGGTGGGCTGTGCCTCTTTGTGTACCAGGTAGGAACGTCCATCACAGCCCTGAGCAGCTGGGCCCCCCGAAATCCCAGCCACTGCTCCCAGGTCTTTGTGGCTGACCGGGCCGCAGCTGGGCCTGTGTTAAGATGGAGAGGGAGGCCCAGTGTTCGCCCCCCTCTACCTGCAGAGAATGCCCGGGCAGCTGCTGGCTCAGGGGAGGTGCTGCTGGTCAGATTCACTCGGAGGCCTTTTCCTCTGGGTCCTGCTTCGTGGGGCCAGGAGCTCAGGCCCCCACCCAGGCTTGGTCTTGCCATTTCCACTCTCTCCACACATCTGACCCCTAGCAGAGCATCAGACTACATAGGACTTGACACAGTTTCCAGGGCCACAACTCTTGGTCTACGGACCATACTTTGAGTGGCCAGGTCTAGAATGGCCTGAAATTGACCATTTCCCCAGCATGGCTGCTCCCAGGAATTGCCTGGGGCCAGGAGATGGATAAAAAGAGATTCTCACCACCCAGTGTCTCCTGGAAGACCTCTCCAGACCAGCCTGAATGGGATCCCAACCCACTGCAGCAGCCTCAACTGGGACCCTGATGGAAACACAGATTCTCAGGCCCACCCTACACCTGCTTAATCAGAAATGGGCGTGGGGAGACTGCCATGTGTGTCTGAACAAGCCCTTCAGGAAGTGCTGGCGGAGGCTGCCTCAGTGGGTGCTGCCTGACTCTCTGGTCTGCAAGACCAGAGCTACAACCACCCTGCCCCCTGCCCCAGTGAGGATCCAGCCCGGTTCTGCCAGCCCAGGGCTCATATAGCTACACCCTCCGCCCTGCCTGAAATGGGCTGATCCAAGCCCGCCCTCAGGTGGGTGGGATGTCAGCCACCTATGAACACACCTGGGGCTTATCTGGGATTGGCCAGGCCCTGGGACTGGATCTGGCTTTGTGAGCAGAGACAGGAGCCACCTGGGTTCAGCTGGGTATCCCCCACCTGGGTCCCCAGCAGCACAGTCCCAAACCCAGCTGCTGGGGATGGGGCTTGGCCAGGCACTAGGTGGGGCTGGGGCGGTGCTGGCCCCCTCCCCTCTCAGCATGCTTCACCGGCTTTCTCTTTTTCATCCCTCCCCGCCCCCCACCACAGCAGTGGACAGGAAGGAGAAGAAGGCTGCAGCGATGCCTGACTCCCCCGCTGAGGTGAAGACGCAGCCCCGGTCCACACCCCCCAGCATGCCACCTCCTCCGCCCTCTGCGTCCCAGGGCACCACAAGGCACTCCTCCTTCACGCCCCACACAAGTGAGTAACTCCAGGGCCGGGCAAAGCAGAGAGGTCTCTGGGGCCCCTGAAGTTGTCTGACACGCCAAACCTCATTTCATGCTAATAGAGCCAGTGCTACAGTCCCTCCACCCTAAACCCTTAAACAGCCACTGTTGGGTCCTTGAGAGAGAGGATCTCATCATGGCTCAGAGGCCAAGCTTTGAGGATCAGATCCCAGCTCTTCCACTTTGTAGCTGTGTGCCCTTGGGCAACCTGCTTAACCTCTCTGGGCCTGGCGTTCCTCATCTATAAAGCAGGGCTGGCCATAGTCCCTGCCTCACAGAGTTGCTGTGAAGACAAGTGAGTTAACTGAAGTTCCTACCCAGTGGCCAGCCTATCGCAAGCATTCCATCAAAGTTAGCTGTTATATTTGGAACTCAGCGAGGGTCAGGGACTTCCCCACAGTCAGACAGCAGGTTACTAGAGTGCAGGTGAATTCAGTCAGGCCTGCATCCTGCTGGAGAGCCCATCAGAGGCGGCTCTGGCCTTAGAGGAGCTGCACACTGGCTCAAATACCAGCCAGGCCTCAGTGGGATGTGTGGATGGCTAGAAACTGGGGTCAGCAGGGTCTCAGAGCTGCCAGACCAGATCCTCAGGCAGTGTCTTGATGAACCTGGTTACATCTAGGTTGAGCCTCTTGGCACTCACAGCAGCTCTGAGTCCTCTGGAGCCCACCACCACTGCTGTATTCCTGTTCCTTAATCAGAGAAGTTGGGGACTCGGTGACTTTGGGTCCTGAATAGTTGGGAAGGAAACCCTCAGACTTAGGCAAGTGTGAGGGTTTGGTGTTCCTTGACCCCAAGGCCAGGGGCTTAGCAGTGTGTCCCAAGGGTTTCTGGTGGACAGTGGAGAGAATCCATGTGCCACCCCCACCCCTATGTTCAGAGACCAGAAGCCCCATACCTGAGGACCCTTCCCCAGGCTTTGAAACCCAAATGAAGACTCTCTGGTTTGGCAGGAGCCTCAAACTCCTTAGCCTGTGGCTCCTGTACCCCAGTGGGCTAACAAGTAAGAGCTGCTGCCTCCAGCCGGAGCTCATAGCTCTTCCCAGAGCCTGGGGTGGACCACAGGACCCAGCCTGGATCTCTCTATCCCTAAACACAAAGGACGCTGGTTCTGCTACCCAAGACTGGCCCCAGCATCATCGTGACTCAGCCTCCCTCAGGAAAAAGGCATTGGCTGTTCAGCCTCTTGTTTGTAGGATGTTGGCTTAAGCCAGTCTCCTGATCTCTTGGAGCCTCAATTTGATAGATGGGGTGATACCACCTGCTGCCCTCTGTGGCAGCCTGAAAGCGTGGGCATCCCAGCTCACAGTAGGAGCTTAGTGACCAAATACCCCTCCCTGCACCTTCACCTGGCACAGAAGGTTCCAGCTCCCCCTTTCTACCAGGTCTGAGCTAGGATCCCCATACATAAGAGAGACTGGAACAGGTCCCCAGCCATGCCTCTTGCCCAAGGACTGGTCCTCAGCCCACAGGTCCTTGTCTGCCTTTATCAGCCACCCTAGAAAGGGCCAGGGGCTGGGCTTTCTCCCACACAACACTTGCATGGCCACTGGCTGCCTGGTCATCCCTCCCTCTCTTCCAAAAGAGTCAGTCCTCACCTCTAACTGAAATGTGGGCAGCATCTCCATCTACTCCACAGTTGCCACCCCGTCAGGGCCCTGTAGGTAGAGAGGGGAGGTGTGTGCTGTGTTTAACTTCACAGCCTGCCCCTCAGCCAAGGTGAAAGGGAATTACTCATGATAGGGCCTCAGCAGCTCCCAAGAAGAAAGGCCATGGGCCATCACCTAAAGTGACAATCTACTTCGTGTTCAGTTCCGAGCAGGAGAAACCAGCAGATACTTGATGGTCAGGCCAAGGCTCCAAACTGGGTCCCTGACCCTCATGGGTGCATGTGTTTCCCTCAGCCTACTTTTCTTCTTGGTCCAGGAGCCCGTGTTCCAGAAAGCAAAAGTCTAAGGACCACATGTTTCAGGTTGGGGACAGGGCAAAGGTCAGCTGGCACCACCCCTGTGTGCATTCGAGAGGCCTGAGAACAGATGTGCGTGTGGGCAGCAGGCCTGTGTGTGGCTCGGGGTCCTCCCCTTACACCCTTCCCATCCCCATGCGCCCCCACCTCTGTGGGCTCATGCTCCTGGATTCGAGGTCCCAGCTCTATTTAGAGCACAGAGGTCATAAGAGACAAGCAGTTCTTTCAGAGCCGACGCTTTAGTTTCATCTGGCTGCTGGGGCTGTCTATCTGGGTGTCAGGTCATCTCTAAGTGGCCTCAGATTTGTTCCCTACCGAAGAATTCCCTGAAAGCAGGGTGGTTAACCATGTTCGTGCACCTGGCTGGTGGCAGCCTGAATGGACAGAGCCTCTGTGCTCAGCTGTGGATTCCTGCCAAGAGCCTCCCCAGCTTCCCCGGGACGAGCCTGTGAGCCAAGCTGACCAGAGGCTGACCTTGAACCAGGGCTTGAGGGCTGTGGTTTTCTTGCTCAGTTACCACCCTGGGCACAAATTCATTTTGGAGTTGAAGCTGTGGTGTGGCCAGAGAGGTGGGCAAGGGCTAAGAGAACTCTGGGAAGGAATGTAAAGAGCTACTCTGCAGCTGGGAGGACCCTCAAAGGGCTAACACCCCATCCTGCCCTTGATTACCCCCTGTGATGGGGCTCACTCTCTGATTACAGCAGTACAGCCTGTCTCCTTGTGGCTTCCGCTCACTAACTCCAGCTCAAACAAATCAAATGTCCTTTCCTGTTTGGTGCTTCCTCCTTTCATGGCAGTTTGGTCCTGGGCTTCGTTTTGGAACCGTCATTGAGTTGTCTATCAATGGAGACCCCACGCCCCGATTTACAAGTCCACTCATGCTCCAGGTTCCTTGAGGATGGTGTTGAGTGGGGTCACCAGGCACCTTCCAGGAAGAGAATTTTTAAGAACCAGGTGTCCCATCCATGCAGATGGAGATCCCAAAATTCTCGTAGGCCCCTGGAAAGTCCCACCAAAAACGTCCCTAAGAGATCCCACGATCAAGCCCCATCATTTTACAGAGAAAATTAAAACCTGAAGAAGGGAATGACTGGCCTAAGGTGGTGACAGTCCCAATCCCCAAAACTGCTGTCATGAAGCAGAGAGGGGAGGGGCCAATTGCAGACACCCAGCAGGGCAGAGCCACCTGCCCACGGCCCCTTTCCTCACAGAGTGTTTTTCTTATTTTGCTTACAGATCGAGAGGACGGGCCTGCGATGTCTCTGCCCCATGGCCGTTTTCATGGCTGCTTAAAATGGTCTATGGTCTGTCTTTGTAAGTAAAATAACAAAAACCACAGGCCTCCCGGGAGGTCCTCACCTGCACCCTCTGCCCTGGGAGGCCTTGACGATGACCCCACTTGCTTACACAGTTCATTATTGCATCTGCATGTTAGTGAGGTCCGAGAGTTCATTATTGCATCTGAGAGAGAGGTCCGAGGGGCAGGCCCAGGAGAACAGAGCAGTCGGAGTCCTCAGACCCACAGTCACACCCCAGCCCTGCTCCTCACGAGCTGTGTGACGTTAGGCAGGTGGACACCCTCTCCGTGTTCCTTTTTTCCCAATCCACAGAATGGTGAATATGGCAGATCCCAGAGTTGTGAGAGGGTAGAATGTCAATGCAAGTCTGTAGCTCGGCATCTCAAGGGCAGACCCCAGTCTGGGTCGAATCCCAGCTCCTCTTCTTTCCAGTGGGGTGACCTTGGGCAAGTACCACCATCTGTGCCTCAGTTTCCCCACCTAGAAGTCATCAGATGCTGCTGGTGGAATCCACGTGAAGCCTGGCACACACTGGGTGCTCAGTGGACATTGGTCACAAGTGGACATTTCCGTCAAAGTGCTCAGGCCACAGCCGATGTCCATAACAGGAAGTTTTCATGGAGCGATGCTCAGAGTATTTGTCAGCCAGTGTCAGGACAGGCACCGACTACAAGTCAGTTGGGCTGCACAAACCCAGGCGTGGCTGCCGAGTAGCTCCAGGCTCCAAGAGGAGGTGACATAATGGTTGTGCATTATTTATGTCCTGCGATGCATGGTCCCGGTTGCCATTATTCTGTGATGCCTGGCCTTGCTCTCATGTCCAGCCATCCACTGGGCTGCAGGGCTCTCAGGACTATGTGATTCCCAGTCCCAGAGCTGCCCCTGCAGCAGGGAGAGGGGCTGGCAGGGAGGCTGTTTGTTGGTTCATCATCCCAGCATGACCCCCGCCCAGGCCCAGGGCTGGGGAGCTGCGGGGGTGCTAGTGTGTGCCCCCAAACCTCAGCCGGGGACACGTGTGCGGTCTAACTTAGTAACACACCTGTTGTGGAATGAAAGCACTTGTGGCCGGGGGTTATTTTCGGCGTCTCTTTAGCAAGCTGCTGAGACTGCCCGGCAGCCCCAGGGAGGGAGCACGGGCCAGCGAGGGCAAGCAGGCCTCCGGGAGGACCCAGGCACCGAGGGCAGGCTGGTAAGGGAGCTGCAGGGAGGCCAGGCCCAGGCTGGGCCAGGGGCCGTGGGTGGGGACCCAGGCAGCATGGATAATCATACATCTTAGAAGCCTCTGGAAGGTCCAGACCCCAGGTGATAGCCCAACTCTGCCACATGGAATGAGCCCCCCACTGTGGAGAGGTCTCCTGTGGCAGTGGGCCATCTCCTGGCCTGGCTGGAGTGACCGCCAGTGGCTGTCATCAGTCTTGACCAGGGTGTATGTGTCAGGGTCTGCCGTGGGGTTGGCTGGAGCTCGCTGGTGAGACAGAAAATTAGCACAGCAGCGGGGTCTTCTGGTCTGTCCAAGGGTCCTCTGGAGGATGCCTCGGACAGGGCAAAGGACAGGGTCTCTTCCTGTCCTATGTCTGGAGTTCACTCTTCATGTGAGCACGGGAGGGACGGCCCGAGCAAGGCACACCTCTCCTGCAGGACTATTCCAGAGCCGGTATGTCACTTCTAGGACCTAGAAGGTGCTTCTACGACCACCCAGACCAGGGAGGCAGACAGGTTTCAACTTGCATGGTGTCTTCATCGCTGGGGAGGGAAAGCCATGCAGAGAAGGTCTCAGGCCCAGGAGCCGGGCATTGGGCTACCATTCCTGCACGCATCCGCCCACCTCTGCTTTTGTGTTGACCCTGGCCTTCAGTCAGCAGTTTCCAAACTTCTGCTAAGTGGGGGCCAGTTATTGATGAGTGATCGCCCACATGTAAAAGCAATCAAGGTCAAGCGTTTCCAGCTCCTTCTAGTGGTGGAAGGACAGCTTTGGTTCTATAAGCCACGGAAGCCTGGAGCAGAGAGGCCAGGCACCTGTGGAGTGGAGAAGCTACAACCTCTGGTTCGGGCCAAGGGCCATTTGCATGTGAAGAAACCGAGGCCAGGACCCAAGTCTCACCCACATCTAGGCTAGTGCAGGTGGTATGGGGCCTCAGGCAGGATGCCCATTCCCAGCTCCCGTGCCAGCAGTGCCCACAGGTGCACAGTGAGGAGCAGGCAGATGAGTGTACAAGGGGCTGAGTGTAAAACGTGAGTGAGCCGCCTGGAGCAGATGCCTGTGCGGCAGCCGAGGACACAAGGTGTGAGTGGTCTCCAGGTTTAGCGGTCGAGCCTCAGGCCTCCCAGAGGCGTCCTGCTTCCTCACCCCACCCCCATCTCTACCCCTGACCCCTCTCCACTGTTACCAAGGGCCCTGGGAGCCTGCGACCTCTGACCTCTCTGGAGACCCTGTTGGTGACCACTAAGGTTTTTGAGGCTAGGGGACTGAGATGCAGGTGGTTGGGCACAGAGGGCTCCCTAGCCTCCAGTGTGAAGTCTCTGCCACCCAAGGCTGAGGGAGGAGGCCCTGCCCTTGAACCATTTCTCAGCACGCACTTCTGGCCTCTGCCAGCCCTGGGATGCCCTGGACGATATCCCCGGGGCCTGGGTAACTAACAGAACTGCTCCTAGGGTTCATGGTAGGTCCCTTAGGGAACTTGCTCGTCCTTCACATATAGCCTGGAGCCCATGTGGACACACATCTGCCTGTGCAGCAGCACCAGACAGCAGCCAGCCCCGGGGCTCTGCCACCAGGACCCAGCTCCATTTACCCCAGGGTGTCTGGGTACCGCTGCCCCACCCAAGCCCCCCAGCACAGGCCTTCGGGCCCTTGTGTGGGCAACGGCACCTGTTTGGGAGTGGGCACCTCTCAGGGTTGTCATGGTGGAGGAGAGGTCACCAGCCTCTCAGGGTGGATGAGTGGCCCCTCCTGAGGAGAGTAGAAGTGGGCCGGCAGACCCCAAATAGTGGAGAAGCCCCTCTGTCCATTCGCAATAAACACTGAGCAGCCTGGCTGGGAGGCAGCCATGTGCCTGGCATTCCGCCTGGGCTGTGGAGGGTCTCACCAAGCAGCTGTCACCCACTGAGAACCTGGGGCAAGGCTGCACCTTTCCAGGCCCCAGTTTGCACATCTGTAAAGGGTGTCGGTGCTCCCATGGCACCCCTGTGACTCTAGTCAGGGACTCCAGCTCTCTGCTGTGCTCCTCACACCCCATCTCCCCCCACAGTAATGAACGGCAGCAGCCACTCGCCGACGGCCATCAACGGCACCCCATCCACGCCCAATGGCTTCAGCAATGGCCCAGCCACCTCGTCCACAGCCTCGCTGTCCACGCAACACCTGCCCCCAGCCTGCGGGGCGCGGCAGCTCAGCAAACTCAAGCGCTTCCTCACCACCCTGCAGCAGTTCGGCAGCGACATTTCCCCAGAGATCGGGGAGCGCGTCCGCACGCTGGTGCTGGGGCTTGTGGTGAGTCCGGGCAGCATGGCTGCAGGGGACATGTGTTTGCTGAGGGGGAAGGGGTGACACTGCGCCGTGCCCAGCCCTTGGGCCTCCTGACCTCCCTGGGCTGGGTGGACGGGGCTTGGGCTAATACATGGTGGTTTTCTCCCCTCAGAACTCTACACTGACCATTGAGGAGTTTCATTCCAAGCTCCAGGAGGCCACCAACTTTCCACTGCGCCCATTTGTCATCCCTTTCCTGAAGGTAACAGCAAACCCTGCTCCCTCATGCCAAGGCCTCCCCCAGGAGCCCCAGGTTCATTCCCTGTCACGTTTGACCAGGCATTAAGCTCTGCCCATCCAGTACCCCAGGGGAACAGCTCTGACCAGTTGCCAGACCGGATTAGTCAGCCACCAAACCCAGTGCTCTAAGACAGAGCTCCCCAATCAGTCTTGTTATTATTGGCCAAAGGCACTTGTCTCCTGGACAGCTATTTTTTGAGCACCTACTATGTTCCAGGTACTGTGTGAAGCTTAGGGATATCGCTGTGAGCAAAGCTGACATAGTCCCTTCTAGAGCCAATGGCCTGGTGGGAGGGGAGACAGCCAACCAGCAATAGCTATAAATTCTGTGATGTGTGACACAAGGAGGGGGCAAAGGATGAGGGCTGTGGAAGGGAGGGAGGGATCCTAGTGGATAGCAGGGCACAGAGCCTCCCAAGCATGTGCAGAGGCCCTGAAAAGGGGTGTGCCTGCTGTGCTTGAGGGACAATGTAGCTGGAACAGAGTGAAGAGGAAAGGGACAGTGGACAGATGGAGGGACAGGTGGGTGGATGGACAGATGGTGGGTGGTTGTGTTGGTGGAAAGGTGGATAAATGAATGCTGTCAGATATAAAAAAAAAAAAAAAGGTCATGTGGTCAAATATGGGAGATAAACAGCCGACTAGGCCTCTCAGCAGGAATAGCTGGTGTCTGGTGGCAGCAGCACAAGGGCCTTATGAGCAATGCAGGTTCCTGGGCTCAGCCCAGACCCACTGAATCAGAACGTGCATTTTAACAAGGACAAGCACAGGTCTAGACCATGTTAGAACAGAATTTTCACTATGATACTTCTCAGGGTTTTCACTCCCCAAAGTGAGGGCAGTTGCCTACCTCCCAGAAGGGCCAAGATGAAATAATTCCCAAATGTATTTGACCCATGACCCTTTGCTGCTGTGCACGTCCTGAGGTCAGGGTTCCCTGGCGCTCACTTGGGAGATGCCCAAACTGAGTGTTGCTGGCCTCTCCCTGGGGCAGTTTCCCAGGCCTCTGAGATGCTTCCAGAGCAGACCCTGCTCACTGCAAGGTCAGGCCTTGGTGGGGCTGCCTTCCAGGGGGTCTTGAGGACCAGACTAGACAAGATGCTCCCAGGTTTGAGCCCAGCCCCTGCAACTGAGCCCCTGTTGGCCTGTGCCAGGCTGGTTCACCCCTCCATGCCTCAGTTTCTGCAACTGTAAAATGGGAATCATTTTCAGGCTGTTGGGAAGATTGCATGAAGCAATGCACATGAAAAATTGACTTTCATCATCTGGGAATTTTAAAATGTTCCACAGACAAGGCATGCTTTGCAGAGCTCTTTTGACACTGCCCCTGCTGACCCCTAGCAGCCCTGTGAGGAGGGGTGGTACAGGCACAGTTCCTGATTAACAGGTGGGGAAACTGAGGCCCTGAGGTCTCCCCCGCTGGTGGAGAGATGGAGCCAAGGCTGGAACCTGGACCCATCAGACTCTAAACACCCCCTGCCTTCACAGGGTATGCCCCAGACCGGTACCTTGTTCCCTGCAGTCCCTTGCCAAGGGGACCCCACATTGTGCCCCCACATCTACTCCCTCCCTCCCTCCCTCCTTCCTGCCCTTCCGCCCACACCCCACTGTGCTCACACTCCTGAGTTGGCGACAAAGAGGCTGCTGGCATGGAGCAGGGTTTGGGCCCATCTGGCAGTCATTTGCAATTCATTAGGAGCCCTTCCCTTCTCTCTCCTCCTTTCAACTTACTGCTGACTCCACCGCTCCCCATCTTTGGAGACACAGTGCGCCTGCTTATTCTGTCGGATCAAATATTTACAGCAGATGTCCAGCCCGCCCGCGTCAGCTGCCCTTGTTTATCTGAGGAGCAGGGGTAGAGCCAACATCCGCGTCCCCTGCTCGCCCCAGCCAGGCCTTGCCCACTGCCCACTGTGCCTTGTACCCCAGCATCCTCCCAGACCCACCCCAGTGAGGCGCAGGACAGGACATGCCCAGCCTAGCACTGCCTGCTGAGGTATCTCCCTGCCTCAGTTTCCCCTCTGCGCACAGCGGTTCTCACGTGCTATTAGGGCTTTTGTGCATAGATTGCTCTTTTCATAGGGTGAGGGGCCTGCCTGCAGCTCCTGGGGCCTGGGATCGCACCCAGGGCCCTGGGTCGACAGGACTGTCAAGGACACAGAGTCCGTTCCTCTCACTGACATGCAGCTCCTGGGGTGCAGCCAGTTCTGTTTCCAGGGCTTGTTGACAAGGCCCCAGCCCGGCCCCATGGTCTTTCCTGGGAGCAGCCCCTACTACCCTCCTTGTTGTAGGAGCTCTGGCTGCTTTAGAATGAAGAGCATTGTGGGGGATTCCAGCAGAAGGGCCCCCTGCCCAGCCCACTGTGCCACCTCCTCTGTGACCTTTGCTGGCACGATGGTGCACCAGGCCCACTATATGAGCAACAGTGATGTACCCTCACAGCGGGGCCCTTGGAGCTGTCGTACTGCAGAGAGGCAGGATCTATGGCTAAGAGTACAGCTCAGGCAGCCACCTGGCTCAAACCCCAACTCCAACTATGGGCTTCTGAAAGACTCCGGCCTCAGTCCTCTCCCCAATCCCTGGGGATGCAACAGCCCAGCTCTCAGGGGTTGGAATGGATGTTAATTTATATGAAGCCCAGGAGCCCATCATATCCAGGATGGCAGGAGCAGGTGTTTTTCACAGCTCCAGTTGCAGATGAGGCATAAGTTAAAGGAATTAAATGACTTGCCCAAGGTCACACAGCAGAGCAGGGTGGGCTGGCCACAGTCATGCAGTCTGTGTGGGTATTAGATGAGGTACTTGGCGAAGCAGCAGAAACATCATAAACCCTTGGAGAGTGGGAGATTTCAGCTCAACTAACACTGTTATTGTGGTTGTTCCTGCAAACACTGATTTCCCTCTGACCAGAGGTCCCATCTGTGAAGAGGGTAGTTTCAGGCTTTTCTGCAGTGTCAGAACCTTCATTCAGACAGTGGAGTTGAGGTCCACAGAGCTTTTGCCATCAGTTTAGTTTGTCCAGCATCAAAGTGGTGAGGCCTCCCTGGCACCTGGGCCTTTGGGGACACAATGGGGACTGCTGCCTGGGGGAATAAGGGAGACAGGGCTCTCCACAGCCTCTGTCCATTTCTTCTGGGCTGGGGTCCCTGTTACCCCCAGCCAAGGACCCTGGGTCACCTGCGCCATTTCCTGAGCTTGTTGCTGTGTGTGGCTGAGTGGTGGGGCTTTCCAGAAGCTGGAAGAGGCTGCCCCGCCCAGCCAGCCTCCACCCGTGGCTCCGGCTCCCAGCTGGCCCCAGCCGGTCAAGAATCCAGATGTTTCTACCACCCCAACAGCGACCAGCCGGTGCCTGTGCAGTCCCGCCCTGCTGGTCCAGCCAAAGGGAGGCTGCTCAGGAGAGGAGGGGCCAGCGAGGGAGAGGAGGATGTTTGGCGTCTTCAGACCTCCCGGGACCTCCTTTCCCAGCTCATGCTCCTAACATGTTCGACAGATGGCGGGCTGGCCCCCGTTCAGCTATCCAAATAGAAAAACAGGCCTGGCAGCCGGCGCTGCTTGACAAAACTGCATCGGCTGCTTGATTGGGCCCGGGTGCGCTAATGGGTTCTGGGGAGGCAGAGGCAGGAGAGGGCTGTGTGGCAGCTTTGAAACGCCATGAGAAAGTTGGGGAATTGTAATTATTTACAAATACTTAGAACTCTGGCTCTCCCAAGTGGCCTGCTGCTGGGCCTCCTTCCAGCCTGCCGCCCACCCC